TAACACGACAGAGATTCATTGTATTATATGAAATAAACTATTTTGTTATATTTTAACACATTTTATTATTCACATTGATAGGTCATGTGATACACAGCTGGTGTCCCACAGGACTAATACAGTGTTACATGTTCATTGTCTATTAATCATAGTCATACAAATGATTAATATGTACAAGACTAGATTTGAAGAAATTTTCACTGGGGTTCTTTTCGTCATGACGTAATACAGACTTTCATTAAATTTAGTCTCTGCAGCCGAGTTATCAAATTTAATGACTCAAATTACAGTATTTTTACTATTATGTTGCTTGGTTTTATATGCCTTGCCCAAATAATACATTATTTGATTGATTGACAGATGTCAGAAGTCCAGGAAATTCACTGTATTTCATATTTAATAGTGAGATCAAATAAAATGAATGCATTGAAATTTATTGATGGTAACCATGCATTCTTATACGTGTTACATTGGCGAATGCTTGAAAGACCGCTGCTTTAGCATGAATTTTTACTTCAACACTAATTTAATTTCATCACTGCCATCAAGCAGTCTCGGTTGGTTGATCTTGACGCCTTGTGTATTTCCGATATTACTAATATAAGCTCAAAGACAACATCAAATATCAATAAACTACCAATCAAAGAAATTTACAACTATTATTGCTTGATCATATCCATTTCCAGTTTTATGTTCGTATTACTTTCCTTCCAAGTGTTAGAGCAATATTTTTTTTTTACCTAAAAAGCAATGGAATAGTTCAACTACACCATCCCATAATAAAAGGCAAGAAGCTCTATTTGATGACAACAGAGCAAATAGTGGAACAAACAAATTGGCAAATTATAGAACATTCAAAGCACAGTTTAAAATGAAAAAATATTTAGAATGATTACGTGCGTAAGAATCCTCTAATAATGAAAACAAACATGGCTGCCACCAGGGTTTGACCGGTCTCCACACAAAGAAGTTTACTGATTCTGTTCTTATGTATAATAATAAGGTTATTACAAGGATACCTCAAAGTTTGCACTCAGACAGTACGCCGTTGCATCAACCTCCAGTGCGCGTCGGTCAATACTTGAGGTATCCTCATAATAACCTCATATTATATAACCTCACATCAAAAGCATGCCTCGTCCGGTCCATGTTAGTACATCCATGTCCGGTGTTAGGTAGTCAAGTTCTCAGGAAAGTGTCTGGGGGTCTTGCAAAGCCCCTCGGTAAATACCTACTAGGCGGGTGTATGCAGGGAGCTGTAATGAGATTCTCATTACAGCTCCCTGGTGTATGCAACTATTTTGCCCCTGCTGTAAATTCGATAAATTTGGCGGGTGCACATTTCATACTAATATTTTCGTTACTTATAAAAAATATACGTGAAGTGAATTCATATTCAACTTTATTCGATTATTCAGACGATCTATTATTGTTATGATGGTAAATGACGTCAATACCGACGACGTCAATTATGTGTCAGTTACGCGCACATAGGAATAACGAGTCGTCGTGTACGCTTGTGAAGGAGAAAGCAACTATTTCTCAATAATAAAACATTACCTTTTATGTTGTCGGTTGTGCGTGGAACACCGGCTCCGATTTTGTCATCGCCATGCACACAAGAAAGCTGCCATTTTGGAAAAAAGAGTGCAGTCTGGGAATCGACCCCAGTGACCTGCAAATTGAAAGCTTATAATTGGTCGAGTGGGTAGTCACGTGACAGAATACTTGGCGGCTGGGGTAACAACACTAAACCTAAGCATCAAATGAGGCTGTTATAATAGTGATCCGACGAGTAATATCACTCATAATTTAAAGGTGTGAGTGTCGAGCAGGAACCATGGGGGACAAAACAGCTCCCGGGTCGTCCCTGAGACTGGAATGGGTATATGGATATCGTGGCCACCAATGCCGTAGTAACCTCTATTACACAGCAAGTAAGGAGATCGTGTATTTTGTAGCGGGCGTGGGAGTGGTCTACAATACCAAGGAACAGAGTCAGAAATTCTTCCTTGGCCACGATGATGATATTATTAGGTAAGCGCAATCATTAAACAGTGTGAAAAAGCAACTGAATCGATTAACACTCGGTTAATTGGTGTTTGCACAACAGTGGTATCAATAAACAACTCCTTCTTAGCAACGTCGCCGATTTATGGTGGAAAGGACGCTATTCCCCCACAATTGGACTGTCACCTTGTCTGCCTGTTGGGACATGTCCGCTATGTTATTCTATTGTTTATGTCACTTTATATGAACAAGTACACAAATCAGTGTCACAATGCATCTCATCATCCTATGCTCATCTAATTATAATTATTGCCAAAATGAAAATTATTATCAATAAGTTTTATCAAAAATGTATTTACTTTTATGTTTTATTATTATAACATAAATGGAGATACGTATATAAACAAATGTATTTTAAAATATTATCATATTGCCACTTAAATGTTTATTCTGAGATAAAAGTAAACTTTTTGGACTATAGCAATGTGCAAACTAATTCAAAAATCCCTAATTGGTTGCTATGTGAATTTGTTGTCATCTAAGGTTGTTATTTTTTCTTGGCAGACGGCTGTTGAATATTTTTGTTTATTAAAGGTATCTTAAATTTGAAGTAATTGTCATTGTTTTTACTTGGCCAGCCTTGCATTACATCCTGAACGAAGCATGGTAGCTACTGGACAGATTGGAAAAGAACCATACATATGTGTTTGGGATACTTACAATGTACAGACAGTATCGATACTAAAAGATGGACACCAGAATGGAGTTGCTGCTCTCAGTTTTGATCCAGAGGGAATGGTAAGTACTAAATTAATAATATTATTTCAAGCTCTATATTCACAGGGGTAGCAGAGCTGCAAGACTTAGAAATTAATTGGAGCTCAGCTGTTCTGTTCAGTTATTTAATAATGATTCTATAAATATGTTCTTTTCAGGTCTTTAAAAGAGTAATTTTCATTGCTCCGCCATGCCATGCTCGGACATGCTGGAGACTATGTGTATTTTAATTTTTGTTGTTGTAACTTTATGCATATGCAAAATAGATTGTTCCGGGGGGGGGGGGGGGGGTAAATTAATCACTATTCTTCTCCATTTGTCTTGGGAAAATTCTGTCAGGCTGCACCATTAACCAATGTTTTCTTGATCACTCATGCATTTATGTTATTATTGATATCTGTCATGTGACTCATTTTATAATAATATATGTATAATTAATCAATCTGTTAATTTTTGTTGTTGTTATACATGATTTCAATAATAATATGTGCTGTGAAAATTTTTTTTTATTTTCTTGGGAAGTAGATTACATAACACTCCAAATGCAATTCTGTAGTTTGCATAAACTGTTGTCTTTCCTGCTTGATTACTCATTCACAACCAACAAAAATCGACACATTAATGGAAACAGTTTAATATAACATAGTCAGTACATGGAGCTAAATTTTAGCTCCATGGTCAGTAGTACATGTATGATAACTCATTAACGTGATTATAGCCTGACTTAAAGCATATACAATTCAATAAACTTAATAAATAATATGAAAAAAGAATATAGAAAAAAATTATGACAAGTTTAAAAAACTTGTGTATTTTAATTAGAAATTTGTCAAAATACATACAACTGAGGTTTGTAATTCAAAAACTATTTTGAGTACACAGAATATTTACCCTCTTCATAATGTCAATCACTGATAATTATTCAAGAGAGTTAATGATGTCATCTTTATTTCCTTTTTTATTTATTTTCATTGTTATTTAGATTTCATGCAAGATATTACTTTATCCAAAACTAAGAGAGTGTTTCACTTTCAAACTCTACATTTATATAAATAACAATAATGGATTTGATTTATAGACAAATATATTTTACTGATTACCTTGACATTGTATTGTGAATAAGAATTATAATATAGAAAATGCAATGAATTAAGAAAAAAGGGACAATAATTTAGATGTAACAAGTAATATGAATGTACAAGTTGAACGATAGATTATAAGTATGGAGATTGCAATAACTGACGGGACACATAAACTACCCAGTATATAAATTTACATCTGACATTTTATGATACATATCATTTACTATGTAGATAAAGCTTAGCTAATAAAGTACCTTAAGGATATGTCTGGCATTGTAGGATTACATGTGGGTATAGTGTACCATATTATCTTTGTTACAAGTAGCAAAAATAAACCAAAATAATGCATTTATTGTATGACTGATCATTGAAATTATGACTAATTTTGACCATAGACACACCTCTGTCTCCAAGTGTTTGCACTGCTAATAAAAGAAATACCGTTCATTTTATAAACCAGCTGTAATGAATGTCATTATCAGCTTAAGACCAAGTGAGCATGATTACAAAAATATAGTAGTTTAATAGTAGTAGTGTTTTATGTTTTAAAAGAAATTTACTTTCCTGCTCAAAGTTTTAATGTGTAATGTGTATTTATCGCCAATATAAGTGCATAGAACAGTTGTAATTTATTGGGATTTTTGTGAGTAGACTTATCTTTGACAATGACTTATAATTGTTGTATTATTTGATTTTTTCCAGAGATTAGCATCAGTTGGTCTTGACAACCATGGTACTATCAATGTATGGGACTGGAGAAAAGGAAAGATACTGGCAACTACCAGAGGACACACAGACAGGGTAAAAATTATCTAGTATCTTGCTCTTCTTGTACATTTTCAGAATTCACCAGTTAAAAATATTTTTTTCTATGTTACAGGCAATTGTTGAATCAGATATAATTTGAGTTTTTTTTATGAAAATAAAAACTTAAATCAACTCAATGGCATTTAGAACATTTCGAAAATGCTGTGTAAAGTCTCCAAAACTAAATTGAACATTTTTTTTTAAAAATCAGATTTTTAGAATGATTATGCTCACAATTGGTGTCTGTGATACTAATAAAAGGTTCTGAATTTTATCATCAAAAGTCGTGTTTTAGCTTAACAAAAATAAAAAACATTGATCATACATTTCTTTGTCAAATATATGTTATTTGTCATACATTAATTTTCACATTTGAAAGGATCTGTGTTTCTATGTCAATGACCGAAAGTATCTAATCTTCCCCAATGGAGTTATGAGGTAGAAAATTCTGAAATTGGAGTTGATTCATATTTTGTTTATTTTTCACTAGATTTTTGATATTCAGTTTAACCCATACAAAGAAAACAGTATCGTCACATGTGGTGTCAAACATATCAAGTTTTGGACGTTATGCGGCAATTCATTGACAGCTAAGAAAGGAGTATTTGGTAAAGTAGGAGAGCTGCAGACTATACTGTGTCTGGCCTTTGCACAGGATGATATAACATACTCTGGTACATTGAATGGTGATATCTATGTATGGAAAGCCAATAATTTGCAAAGAAGTATACAAGGTGCTCACTCAGTAAGTGCAGATTTTTATTTTATCTTGTTGAATTTTTTTAATCACAATCAGCCAAAATTGTTCTTTTCATTCTACTTTCTGCGATACAGGCATGTGTGTGCATAGATTCACATATAAGTGCAGCAAATTATGTCATTAAGGGGAGGGGTTAAAATTATCATGTCAGGTGCCAATCAGGTTAGCCCAACTAAACGCACAACAAATTATAATGCACATGAAATTTGTGCTTTTTAACGGAAAAAGAGAAGTGCTCTATTAAAGCTACCATAAATACTGCAATTTTATGATTTCACTAAATAAAGTTTGCTAGAAATAATTATTTGATATTCTTACTTACAGGGAAGCATCTACACTATAAATGCATCTGATGATGGCTATTCCACAGGTGGTAAAGATGGATATGTTAGACTATGGGACTGTGATTTCAAATCTATCACAAAAATAGACTTGACAGATTCCAATGAAGGATATCAAGGTGTGTATCAATTTCTCTTTCCAAACAAACAAGACAATTGCTAGGGTTCAAAAAAAATATGCTGAATTTTGTCAGGCAATTTTCTTTTAGGAAATAAAATCATAAGCCCAGGGGCCTCAATATGTAAAATCAGGGAAAATAAGGGGTGGGCTTATACTCGAGGACCACATCAGAAAAGCTCAATTTTTTTGCTTATCATTGTAACCATCTTTACCACCCACGAAAAATGATCGCAATCACATCTCTTATTCACCATGCCAGGCTTGGAGGAATATTACATCTCTTATTCACCATGCCAGGCTTGGAGGAATATTACATCTCTTATTCACCATGCCAGGCTTGGGGGAATATTACATCTCTTATTCACCATGCCAGGCTTGGGGGAATATTACATCTCTTATTCACCATGCCAGGCTTGGGGGAATATTACATCTCTTATTCACCATGCCAGGCTTGGAGGAATATTACATCTCTTATTCACCATGCCAGGCTTGGGG